AAAACCTGAGTGAATTGGCTCGAAAACAAAAATAAAAATAAGCCGATCGAGGGCTACAATGCTAAATTGATAAAACTGATACGAACAACCCAAAGAAAGTGAGCGGCTTGGTCAAATAATAAATTTACTTTGAAGTTCAGCAATGCTATTACCTTGATGGTCTTTATGCTTTCGTGTCTTTGCTAACGTTGGCTCAGTTACATCTTCAGTCTGAATAGAGTTATCTTCATCCAAATCTTTAGGCTCAGCTGATGCCGCTGAATTAAGGCTTCCTGAAGTGTGGACTGATTGTACATGATTGCCATTTTTTACACAGAAGAAAGCAGTAATTCGTTTCTGTCTCGACATTTTGAGCATGCATTCATGAATTGGTGCAGTGAATGTGGCTCTTGACAGTTTTTAAAACTGAATGGAAAACTAACCCCCGTATGCGAAATCTTAGCTTGCTTCCCACTTTAAAATTTTACTGTACCACCAAGATGGAAGTCGTGGAAGAGATAAACCGTATCGGTGACGATCGCCTCAATTTCCTGGAAACCTTTGAAGAACATCGAGAGGCATTGCTGCATGTCTTGAAAAACACCTCTGCAATACCCGCGGCTGTACTGGGACGGGATTATTTACGATGGATGGTAGAAACCTATTTTGGTCTGCGAGACAACATCATCTCAATGGTAGACAGCATGGATGTTCTAGAGGCAAACCAGTGCGAGCTCCATCACAGCCAAAAAATTTTGAAATGCCTCTCTTACGCCAACCAAATGCAAACGGCTCTTTTTAAGAGCCATCACAAATGAGAAAGGCTTAATCAACAAATTTTTTAAAATCTATTCTTTTAAATTTTATTTTCGCTGAAACGTTCGATATTATAGTGTTTGCAATAAATCGATTGCTATCAAACGACCTTTTGTTCTTTTACGAAAGTTATCAGCGAAAGCCCCCACACCGGCTCCTAGCATCGCAGATAAGACACGGGAATAATGGTGACCTTTGATGTCATTCGGCCTGTCACGGTTATGTCACAAGACGTCGCCTTAATAGCCTCTCTGTAACCTTAAATCATTTGGAAAACCGCCACTCACAGTTCACATGAAACGAATTAACCTCATTAAAATGCTTTTCCCCTCAATTCATCCACCTTATATTAGCTGGTTTTATCTTAAACAACCCAATGTTTTCTAAAGATTATTTTCTCAATTAAAAGTTTCTTAAAAAAAAAAAAGGCCAAAATCAAGATGCTAGCTACGGCCCTTATTGTCTGAAATTTTGTTTTCAAAATTGCCTATTAAAATTTTACCGATGCTCATTACGTCGCAGGCCATTGCGGGAGATCAATTTTGAAGAAAAGGAATTCTCCCTCACTCTATTTTCTAAGTTGGTAACTTAGGAGTCTTTGGAGCAAATTTCAAGCCCATCTGTAAAGTTTCCATACCCTGTTAATTTGTTCAAGAAGTCACATGCGTAAACACGAAGTGGGCTTTGTTGGCTTTCAAAGTGTAGCCAACATTTCACATATTTGGGTGACCACATGTCAAGTTATGTTATTTGAAAAATTGAAATGCCGACCACCCGTGGCTTCCTGCGCATATTTTGCTCGTGACAGACCTCAGTTCAATTTATGACTTTGGTATGGCTTTTATAAATAAAACGAGTTGGATAAACCACCTACAAAAAAAATAGGTTTTTGTCCTAACTTATAGATGACGATCCGTCCAAAGGATATCGTTTTTCGCTCGAAAAAGAAAAATGACTGGTGCTGTTCAAGAGTATGGTGAAGCATGATTTCCATTTATGTGGACATAGGCCATGTTCCCATGTTTGGCGGGGGCTACGATATTCATATTGCTGACAACGCAGGTCAAAATTCACACTCGTACACCAGGTTTAACGAAACCTTCTCGGCTCCAAGTCCAGTAAAGGAAAAAGGATACAGTGTTAGCTGGGAGTCCCAGTCCCCATGAAGTAGAGGTGTTCCCTTCAATCTGTATTTAAAATAGCAAAATGGTCCGAAAAGTTTCTCTCGGTAGTGTAAAATTTAAACAGTTTTCCGTCAAAAATTCTATTTGTGTCTCCAGGAAAGGTACTAAGTGTCTCTTGAACAGACATTTACACGCGACAATGAAGATACTTCTCTGGTAGAGTAATATAAATATATATATATATATATATATATATATATATATATATATATATAACTAACTGCAGACAGTACTGTTTCGGCCTTCTGAGCCTCATCAGTGCAGTGCTGATGCTAGCCACCCCAAGTGATCTCACACATGTGGAATCATCTAAGCCATGCCAGAGTGCTCAAACTAGAAAAACTAGTGAGGATGGATAATGCTAGCAGCAATGACTCATCTTAGTAGAGTGCTCAATTTGGACATGAAAGCAAAGCTTTGTATGCCAAATATATATATATGTATATATATATATATATATATATATATATATAAATATTATGAGAGGAAAAAACGACGCAACTACATTTCCCGACGATTGAGCACTGTTCCACGCGAAAATCGACTTGCAGACTTCCTATATATATATATATATATATATATACATATATATATATATATACATATACACGCTACATGACTTGAATAACTTCGTGTGCGCCTGAACTCTACAAGACAGTCGAACCTTTTTGCAGAAGTCATCAGCCAAAATCTCCTAAAATTTAGTTAACTGAACTCTGATTCTTACCCATCGAAACCATTTCGTTAATCACCGCACTTACAAATGCATATGCATCAAGTCGAAGACTCAACAATTGAAGTCACCTTGTTTCATTTTTACATTCAATTGCTCTGTAATAACTCTTTCTATAACTATATGAGCTCCTGGAACTTTCATGAATGTTGATAATTAACACTAACAATAACCGTCACTTTTCCAGACCCCAGTTCAATTAGTATTAGTAACAATGGAAAATGGTGGTAAACCAGTCCAGGTCAATGCTTCTACATCTCTGGGTTACACCATAGAACAGGCTGAGGCTATCCACAGGTTGAAATCAGCCAAAGATAACTACGAGAGACTGGGGCTGACAGCTGGAGCAACCAGGTACGATGAGTAATATCAGTCAGTCTTAAATTATTACCTTGGTTTTATTATCACCTCAAGTAAAAATGAGTAACAACATACGACATCGCATATTTTTGTAACTGAAGAAGCAATAAAATGAATCTACCTTTGTCATGGAATTAACAGCGAAATAAAATGACTAAATCTGCAGACTTGCAACGTTCATGCAGTGGTCGACTGATCAACAGTTATTTTCATAAACTTGTAAACTTTTCTTTTCAGTTTGTTTTCTTCGTCTTCGTCAATAGCTCGTGCTATTACTCTATTGGAAGCCTAAATTTCTCAATTTTAACTGTTGTCTCTGACATTCTCTAAACCGCGCGCTGAAACTGTTTTTTGCTCTTATCTTGTTCCGGCGTTAGGCTTGAAATCAATAACATTTCGGCTTTGAAGACAACTAGATTAATCATATGGAGGACAGGATTAACTAACCTAAACAAGAAATCGTGTTTCAATCCATGTAAATATTATTGTGAACACTGACCTGTAAATGTGGTCCTAATTTTTCTTTCCTGTTATCCGATTTTTAAAGAAAGATAAATTTGTAAATCAATCAAAAAAAACGCCCTGCAATTTTACAGATTAAAGGTGGCTTGAAATTGCTTTCCGAGGCACCTAGTGACTATATTCAAGGCGCCAAAAAAACATATTTCCTTCTTCGCAGTCGAACCAGTTTCATATATTTGTTAATCAATGGAGTAAAGTTTGAAAAGGCGGGCGTCTGATGGCAATCCTTGTTATGATGCGAAAGTTATGTGAAACAGTTTATAGGGGGTTCGGAAAATCCTAGCTAGATTTTCTCACAACTTCACGAATACCTTTTTTGAGATAATGCCTTGCTGTTAAGTGAATTTCAACGAACGAAAGTGATATTTCCCAATTTCCAAACCTTACGTCTACAGCGATGAAATCATTCGTTTCAATTCAATTCAAGATGAGCGAGTTTTCAGCTGTTGTTTGTTGAAAAGAAGATGTTATTCAGTGAGTAACGCAGGCATAATGGGAGAAACGAAAAAACGCTCCAAGTGCATTAACATTGTTCACGTCACTTCTAATGATGGTCAAGAAGGTTATAGACAATGAAAAATTGTGGCCTATGTGTTAATATGGTGATTTAAGTGATAGAAGACGTAGTTCAGGGAATGATACAGAATACACGGAGAAAAAAGAATTTCCGAGTGCTCCCGATGAGAGCCAAACCTACGAACTTTCATTAAGTAGTCATCCGCTCTACCACAGACGGTTATATAGCCGTTTAATAAGTTCCATGTTCACAAAATTCCCGCTTACTACGAAGATAGGAATGTCGGTACGTGATGCTTATGTACAATGATGTAAATGAAGATGATAAACTTCAAGCCAGGTGATCTTGTTCATTGAATGACTCAAGCATACTGGGACAAAATTTGTCTTTGAATAAAATTCAGTTGATTGTATGACGTATGACATCACGTATAGGTAATGACATGATTGCGGCTGCAATTTGGTGTTAATTAGCAGAAGTAAACTTTTCAAAGACAACGAAATCGCGCGAGCCCGTAGCGCTAGTGCAATTTTCGGTCCTTGAAAAATTTACTAGTGATTATTAACGCAGAGGGAACATTTTCCTTTTTACGCCAAATTGTACGAGAGATCATGCTACTTGTTAATAATTTACGTGAAAAGCATCAAAGAAAGTCAAAACAGACGAAATTTTTTCAGCGCATAATTTGTAGTTTTGTAATTTGTAATTTTCACTTGTGTTACATGGAAAATGCACTTGTTTTCATCCAATCAGCCGCACGTATTTTTCATGTATATTGTTTTCAACTTTGTTAGAGACAGATTATTGCTGATGAACATGTGAAGTTCCTTAAATCGTAATGGTTTCCTTAGTCCATTGCAGTTGAACAACTGAACTTCCTCTCGTCGTTATGATTTTCTTAGTTCATTTTAGCTTTTTCTTGTTAATTATTAATTCAAAGAGTGCTTTGGCCTGTTTAGATGGTAAGTTGTTTAAAGAAGCTCCGTGCTTTCGCTGAATTTTAAATTCTATACTCATATAACTTTTACCCTTTTTACAATCTTAACTTCTTTCTGTATCACTTCACTACTAACCAACCAAAAAATTGCTCAGTTTCGAAAAGGAAGCACTTTATTTAGTGGATGTGGATTGTTATGTTTTCTTTTCATCTATCTTGCACACGAAGCATAACAATATTACGTGTATTTTACACACGACATTATTTGAATATCGGTGACACTCAACAATATTGATACTCAAAACTCTTCTCGGAAATCTTAAAAATTAATTTGGGTAGCAGGCATTTTCTCAGTAAGAATGTTAATATTCCTATTGAGACATATTCCCGACTTCTTTAACTTTTCTTATTACATCACAACGCGGCGGAGCAGATGGCTCCAACCCTCACCATTAGTTTAGATCTTTTCAGAATTTCACTCAGTTTTGTTCACTCCATTTCTTTTTAACACTCATCGCGGACGATACGATAGATTCAAGCTATATAAAATGAACTAAGTTGTGCAAAAAAACCCAAGGTTTCCGCGTTGAGAATCGTTTCATGAGTCAACATCTAAGAATTTCTCGTTTTTGTTTGTTTGTTTCGTTTCTTTTTAACACTCATCGCGGTCGGTAGGATAGTTTCCAGCCATGTGAAACGAATTAACTCATAAGAAAAAAACCCAAGGTTGCTGCTTGGAGAATCGTTACATGACTCAACATCTCAGGATTTCTGGTTGTATTTTGTTTGTTTTATATCCTTTTAACACTCATCACGGCTGATACGATCGATTCAAGCCATATCCGAGTAAGGCCTCTCATCCTTCATTAATTATTAACGTAACACGTTAAGTCTGAGTTTTGAAATGCATGGATGTGTATCAAGGCGATGGCGTAGTAGTGACATTGGTGACCTTGCTGTATTTTAATTATTTCGTGTATTGTCCTCCTAACATTCGAAATTATTTCAGATAACTGCCGTTTATTAGCCTTTCCATCCTCGTTATTCTTCGAGGGGGAACGTCTTGTTAACCACACCATGGCAACCATCAGTGTGATTGACAGGGACACGTGCGAGTTTCGTTGTTACCTGGAACACAGCTGTGTCAGTATCAACTTTAATGTTCAACCGAAAGAGCCTGAGACAGAAAACTGTGAACTGAACAACTCAACCAGTCAAGAACATGAGAAGGACTTGATCAAGGCAGCAAATTATGTTTACCATGGAACGAATGTAAGAATATTTTACAAAGAAAATATATTGAAGCTCACATAGCAACAAGGTGGACAATGATGAAGGCACTAGACAGGAGTGTCGAAACGTTGCCTCTATGAATTGTAACTTCTCGGTTACATTCACTAAATCTTTAAACCAGAGTAGTATCAAACCATGTCTGATTTTACAAAGAGTAAACGGACAAAATCGATTTAAGGATAAAAGAGAATAAAACAGACCCAAAGACAAATAAAGTAACAAAACAAGTTTGCTGATGATTAGTGCTTTCATCTTCCCCCTTTAGAATGCCTGTGGTAATTCACCGTGCAAGAACAATGCAACCTGTCAATCAGGTTTTACCAGTCAACGATATCGCTGCTTATGCTCTCCCGGATTTACTGGCCACAACTGTGATCGCGGTAGGAAATTATTACTGCTGTTTTCCTTTTTAGGAAACAATTAAAATTATTTGATCAAATTAAACAAATTTTGTCCTGACGATGAGTACAGTCGCCGCAATTAAAACTCAGATGGAGCCTGAGGGAAAGTAATCGGTTGAGGACGTGGAAGAGGAAGGAATGGGTACGGGAATGGGTAAATGGAAAAGGAACGTCCTCATTTAAGCATCAAGATTTGTCACATTTTCAAACGAGATTAATCGATGGCTGTCGAAATTTCATCTCTTTCCACCGGTAATTCACAAGTCTACTACTAAATCCCTCTTTCTTCCATAGCTTTCATCCACTAATTGACCATTACAAGAGTAGCAAAAGTGTAATGTTGTTGTGGGACTTCGGTTGTTTATTTTTCTTTAGTCGCAGATAAGTGCAACAGCAACCCATGTCAGAACCAAGGATCCTGTAAGGACGGTAAATGCCAATGTCAGCCTGGATATTCCGGAGAACTCTGCGAAATAGGTTAGTCACACACTATTATTATCAGATGTAGTTTTACTCTGAAATCGTATCTTAAACTGCGTCCATGAAGACAAAGATAATTATGTGGTTATTTTTCCCATAAGTATGACGTATATAAATGGCGTTAAATGCATAAGTAGATGTCAACCAATTATCCTCACATTTTCAAACGAGAATAACGAACTCGCAAATTCATTAAAGGGACTTTACTCGGCTAGATGAAATTTCATCCCTCTCCACCGGTAAATCAAAAGTCCACTAAATTTCTCTTTCTTACATAGCTATCATCCATATATTGACTACTACAAGAGCATTAAAAGTGTAATTGTGTTGTAGGGCTTCGGTTGTTTATTTTTCTTTAGTCGCAGATAAGTGCAATAGCAACCCATGTCAGAACCAAGGATCCTGTAAGGACGGTAAATGCCAATGTCAGCCTGGATATTCCGGAGAACTCTGCGAAATAGGTTAGTCATACATTATTATTATCAGATGTAGTTTTACTCTGAAATCGTATCTTAAACTGCGTCTATGAAGACAAAGATAATTATATTGTTATTTTTCCCATAAGTATGAGGTATATGAATGGCGTCAAATGCAGAAGTAGATGCATGTTAATCAAACATCTTCACATTTTCAAACGAGATTAATCGATGCCTGTCGAATAACGAACTCGCAAATTCATTAAAGGGATTTTACTCGGCCAAGTGTGTTAGGACTTGGGTTGTTTATTTTTCTTAAGTCATAGATAAGTGTAACAGCAATCCATGTCAGAACCAAGGATCCTGTGAGGACGGTAAATGCCAATGTCAGCCTGGATTTTCCGGAGAACTTTGTGAAATAGGTTAGTCACACCTTAATTACTCTGAAATCGTATCTTAATCCGCGTCTATGAAGACAAACACAATTATGTGATTATTTTTCACAAATGTATGAGGCATATAAATGGCATTCAATGCATAAGTAGATGTCAGTCAATTATCCTTATTTTCACTGGTCTCCATTCAATATACTACAGGCGATTTCCATTCAATAAAGACTAAACTGACAGCTATGATTACTTTACAAACGTTAGCAAAACTGAAAGCAAACAAAAATAATTAAACGAACTGAAAACGCAAAACAAGCAATAATGAAAAAATTAACTTCACGACAAATGAATAAAGGGGTAAGTTTCTAAAGAAACTGTGGTGCTGCGTCGGTGGGAGAGTATAGCAGGTAATTTCGTGTTAACAACTGGGTTGAAAACGT